ATAATATAATTAAATGTTTTATTGCTGACGCATTTAATTTCACACTAGAGGCGAAAACAGAATTCTTTTCGGTATATTTATATTTTCAATTCTCAGTACAAAACCTTAATCATTTATTTTTGTTTTGCATCGGGCGCGAAACAAATTGTACAGCGTTTGCTTTTGGTTTTGTTCTTGGGTCGGAACTTTTCTCGAGTTTTGTTTTTCGTGCCATTCCTGGTACAAAACCTTAATCATTTACTTTCGTTTTGCATCGGGCGCGAAACAAATTGTACAGCGTTTGCTTTTGGTTTTGTTCCTGGATCGAAACTTTTCTCGAGTTTTGTTTTTCGTGCCATCCCTGCTCCAAAGAATAAATCAAAGAGTAATAATGCCATAACAGCCGCGAACACAGGATGTACGCATGTAATGAATTTATTCAATCACAATACATTAATTAGACGTTTCAATTCTATATTGCAGATCCTTCTCAATATCGCAAATATTTATTAGAAAATAAGAATACAATTAATTACTTTGGTCATACAATTAAAACAAAACAAAATTGAGAAAACGAATTCTGCAACATGCAGCGGTATCTTGTGAAATGTAGACGTGCAGATGAAACTGTAATGTCCAAGCATATTTTTATTATAATTACCAAGTTAACTAAGAAAAATTCTTTTAACCGAATTAAACAGACGTGTCTAATAATAAATAATAAATTATTAGACTTACATGATAAACGCAAAGACAAATAGCTTGGTAAATGTGTCAGTTCTATTTTTCGCTCTCATGTGATTGCTCTCAGACGCAATCAAAAACTAAAGTATATATATATATAAACATTGACAAAGATGGTAAGGAGAGGGAAGCATCAAATCCTTATAAATTAATTATAATATATAGAGTTAAGAGATACCGTGTCATTTTTAATGTTCAAACTATTTATTTGTGTTTCTATGAAAATCATTTCAGACGTCCTTTTATATAAAAGCTCTTCTTCATCTAAAATATTTACATTATCCCAATCAAAATCATGTGAGAATTCAAGTCTATGTGCAATAACTGAATGTGTCGTCTTCCAATTAATATGGTTTCTGTGTTCTTTAATGCGCGCTTTTAAGATTCTATCTGTTTGTGCCACATATGATGCATTGCAATCTAATTTATTCTATATACGACATTGAAATGAGACAGAGTAAGAAGCTCTTTTTGAACGCGGATGAATTTCTTTTATTTATTTATATTATACCTTTGTATGTCATGCTTATGTAAGAACTTTTGTTAAAAAGGTGTTTAATTT